GCTGAGATCCGAGCTGCACGCCGCAATGTCCTGGAGGTGTACAGGTCCTGCAGAGATGGGAGTCTGCAGCCGATCACCTTCTCAGCAGAGCGCACAAGTGACTTCTTCAGTCTCAGCTGACTGCAGGTTTCCCCAATCTTATAAACAGTACATTTGCATGATGACTGAAACCAGCCCACTGAAGAACTTGGCCTCCCAGCCCATTGTTCCTTCAGTGGTTTCACTGGTTTCAGTCATTTTGCAAATGTACTGTTTATAAGATTTGGGAAACCTGCAGTCAGCTGAGACTGAAGAAGTCACTTGGATGAGTGACGAAACGTTTCTGAAACTGAAAATGCTACACCTCTGTCAGTGCGCCCCAGGGCAGCTCTGGCTACAATGTAGCTTGCCGTCACCAGTGTGTGAATGGGTGAATGGCTGAATGTAGTGTAAAGTTCTTTGGGGTCCCTAGGGACCAAATAAAGCGCTATACAAATACAGGCCATTTACCATTTACCATTTTATGTCCAGATGAACAGAATCAACTTTTGGAGATTTACTTACCTGGATGATTGAGCATGCATCAAGACATAATCCAGACATAATTCCAAGCAAATACAGAATTAATCCTCTTCTAATCCTCATTTATTTCTAGACTATTCTTTTCCCGAGTATTCACAAACTAATGTCTATCCTACAGTAAGTAATTTTATTTTTATTTATTTACAAGTTTCCAACTTAACCATGACTGATTATGACCAACACTAATGAGTGAACAGGTGAGGCACACCGACTGTACATAGCGGAGATTAAACAGAGCTGTTCTTGTTATCTGCAGTATCCTGGGATTATAATTTATGGAGATACTTGACTTAGTTCTAACCCAAGTCTTAGTCCTAAACCATCTCCAATGCTGTCCATACTCAAACTGATGCTAACTTAATCCTGACATGTCACCTGTGCAGGTCCCGTCTATCTGATCACTGAGTTCTGTTGTCATGGAGACCTGGTGAACTACCTGCAGAGGAACAAACATACCTTTCTACATGGAGACACACAGACCAAGAGGTCTGTCACACACCCACAGCCACACACACATGTAGATTCTGTCCAGTGCTGACTCACCGGCTCATTCACAGTGACAATGATGGAGGTTACATAGACATGAACAAAGAGGAGAACGCTCAGTACGTTGCCATGAAGGAGCTCAGCTACGCCGACATCGAACCCGCCGTATACGAGACACCGTACACGCCTGCAGGTGATGGCTGCACACAGTTATGGCCATAAATATGTGGACACACCACACTCCTACCTGCAGAGTCAAGTCACTGAACATCCATATTAAGACGCTGTTCCATGGACAAGTATGGGATATCTCTGGTTTAACTGGTGTTGTTCTACTTCAGACCAGCAGGAGGCATCATCGCTGCTCCTCAGTGACAGTCCTCTCCTCAGCCTCAATGATCTCATCAGCTTCTCTTACCAGATTGTTCAGGCTATGGACTTCCTATCATCTAGAAAGGTACTAACACTCATAAACGCAAATTGTTCAGTATGTACCTGTCACATGACCATAGGTGATGGGGCCTGATGATTTAAGACGTTGAATGTGAGGAGCAGGATTTTGAATTCTGAATATAACAGGGAGCCATTGCAGCGGAGTGAAGAGTTCGTGGGATGCTCCACAATGCTGGTGGCTTTGTGGATGCAGTGAGTACAATTAGTGTCTGATTACTAGCTAAGTCAGTCAGAGGTCAATAAAGTCAATATTGAATCAGTGTGTAACTTTGCCAAAACAATTGTGGGACTCTGTAGATTTCTCTGGTCCCCTCCCCAATTGGACAAGGAGTGGCATGTTTAGCCGCATCTTCTCCTTAAATTGCTGGCTGTCTGAGTGGTGTCAAAAACAATGTGGGCTTCACCCAGGAGTGCAGAGGTAGGTTGAGTATCCAAAATTGTGCTCAAGTAAGAGTAGCATTACTTTAAAATATTGTTACTCAAGTAAAAGTGAAAAGTAGTCATTCAAAAAATTACTCAAGTAAGAGTAAAGAGGCTACACTGACGCTAGGTAGTGTGACGATCCAGCGAGGAAGCAGCATCTCCTGCCGTCTTAAGTAGTCTGCCAGGAATAATGCTTGTGATGAGAAGCTAGAGCAGAATCAGTGTGAATGAGCCACACGTGTGCATTAAGGGTGGGTTCAGAGGTGGGGAAGCAAAGTCCAGTTCCGCCCTGGTGGGAGACAAAAACACACCACACTCTCTCCAGATGCTGAGAACTATGACAATAAATACACAAATTTTAGTATTTTCCCAAAAGAATATATTTAAAAACATTAACAAATTAAAGCTGCAAGCAGCGTTAAGACGGCCCTCGTACCCCGGCGTGTCGAGCCACGCCCATCACCTACGCCCAGCAGGTCCTATCTAATGTCACACTGATGGATTTAACGCGTAGAAGAACAAGATAAAATTTCATTTTGTTCAATGATGATTATACTCTACTTTGCATTTCCTCTTTCCACTAGGTGGCGCTCTAAACATTACTGAGAAATGGCATATCAAACATTTTTGAGCTTGGCTCTCATCATGCCTGTGAAGTTTGGGAGAGACTGGGCATTGTGTCTTTGACTGACAGCAGTTTCGTGCTTTTTGGCGAGTGCTTAAAACTCCGCGTGACGCCATGGCCATGCCATTTCACCAAATGTAAAAAGCTTCGCAATATAACATCACAAACATCTTTAGATTCCATTCACTGACAATCACATCAGTCTGATGAGATCCTTAGGAGGAGGTTGTTAAAGTACGAGGCCTGAAAAGAGGAAAAAATGTCACCAAAATTACACCTTCAATTGACAATGGCTGACTTCCTGTTGGATTTGAGGTATTGCTCCAAGACACCTTTTTGTACATCTTGATATCTTACATTAACTTCCCAAGTTTCAGAGTCAAAGATCAAACATAGGGCAAGGGTATTTTGAAGTTTTGTAGGGGGTGCTGTGGAGCCATTTTGCAATATGTAATGAAAATGATCAGACAAAAAGAAAGCCTTCCTCACATTGGAGGTGTGTGCCAGATTTCAAGATTTTTTGAGGTTTCCAAGCCCCTCAAAAGCTACATCATGTTCCATGGTAAAAATGGTAAATGGCCTGTATTTGTGTAGTGCTTTACTTAGTCCCTAGGGACCCCAAAGCGCTTTACACGTTCAGTCATCCACCCATTCACACACACATTCACACACTGGTGATGGCAAGCTACATTGTAGCCAGAGCTGCCCTGGGGCGCACTGACAGAGGTGAATCATGGTGAATCGCCTTGCCACATGGGTGCGCCATTCAATTTAAATTCACAATTAGAATAGAATAGGAGTAATCCTTTAATTGTCCCACAAGGGGAAATTCAGTTGTAACAGCAGCAAGAAAAATACATACACAAACAAACAGTACACAGGGCACAGAGCAGTAACATACAATTTTTTTACATATTTACATCAAGGACAATAGTTACCAAAATCAGAGTACTGTACAGTTATTAAAATTAAATATAATTATGACACTGAAACATCATTGGGGACTGATGTTTATTCTCACCACTTTTCAGATGAATCTGATCATCATGTGAGGAGCAGTACATCCAAGTGTAAGACATGACATTTCCTGTTCCCACTAGGTGGCGCTCTGAGTATTTCTGACAATGTGCATATCAGTCTGTTCAGGGTGGGAGTGTTATCCTGCTTGTGAAGTTTGGGGGCAATCAGACTGGATTCCTTTAAGTTATAGCAATTTTGGTCTTCATGGCGACACATCAATGTTCGCCCTGCTGCTGGGGTCACGCCCTTTGCTGAAAACTCACAGTTTCCAATATGGTAAATGGCCTGTATTTATATAGCGCTTCACTAGTCCCTAAGGACCCCAAAGCGCTTTACACATCCAGTCATCCACCCATCCACACACACATTCACACACTGGTGATGGCAAGCTCCATTGTAGCCACAGCCACCCTGGGGCGCACTGACAGAGGCGAGGCTGCCAGACACTGGCGCCACCGGGCCCTCTGACCAACACCAGTAGGCAACGGGTGAAGTGTCTTGGCCAAGGACACAACAATCGAGACTGTCGAAGCCGGGGCTCGAACCGGCAAACTTCCGATTACAAGGCGAACTCCCAACTCTTGAGCCACGATCGCCCCAATACAGCCCAAGACCAACTCCTTAAGGCTTTCCTAGAGAAATTTAAGGCTGCTGAGGGCACTAATTTCTATACTGCACACCAAAGTTTAAAACATGACATTTCCTGTTCCCACTAAGTGGCGCTCTCCCCAATGTCAAATGCGTTGCATTGATGGGCTCATGACTTTTTTGTTTGTCAAAATTTGGGCAAAATTTTATTCATGTAGCTCAAAGTTTGTGTTCTTGGGACTTCATTTAACAATGTATAGGTGGCGTCCAGACCATTTTGCAATGCTCATATGTGAAACCATTAAAACACGTAATTTTTCACCAGACCTGACATGTGTGCAAAATTTCATGAGTTTTTGAGCATGGTAAACTTGTGCTTTTGTTTTCACTAAATATTATTATTAGTAATATTATTATTATTAATAAACGAAACAGATACAAAAGGGCCTTCGCGGTCTCAGGGCTCGGGCCCCAATTAAGGCACAACAATTCTAATTTCCAGATTTCGGTTTTTCACAACATAAAACTTTTTAACCAATACATACAATAAATAATATAAATATATAAACGGAGCAAACCATATCCAGTGATAAGAATGTGCTGTAGACTTTAAAGTCACTTTTAATCCAAATGGTACAGTAGCCTCAGAGAAAACATTAGAACATGTACATAGAAGCCAGTTTACTTTACCATAAACTAGAGATGGCACGATACCACTTTTTTATGTCCGATACCGATACCGATATCATAAATTTGGATATCTGCCGATACCGATATGAATCCGAT